TTGCCAAGAAAATCCCAAATGGAATCATAAAGAATTGGATACAACTGAAAATGAATGAACAACACCAAAAATGGTTCTTCCCTACCAGGGTTGTTGAAAGGATCAAATGCTATAATTTGCAGTGGCTACAAATGCAAACTTTAAAGTGCTATATAAATGATAGTTATTATCATTATTGTATTAGTATCTTTGTTAGAATTCACAGGTAAATTAAAGTCCTTGGCGTGGGTCCAGACCTCCCATAACTGAGTGCCCCTGGGACTTACACATACTCCCTACACATACTGCACAAAGTTCCTCCAAGATCATGTCTGCCTCGGTTAATCACGTTTCTTTTGATACTTGGCAACAATTAGTGCTAAAATCTAAAACCCAAACAGGAATTCAATTAGGGGTGTCTCATTCCTACTTGTGCCCATTAGTGTTTGTGACTTGTGCAACAAAGGAAACAAAAGAAAACATCCTCGGAAACAAAATTGGTGTCCATTGATTGGGAACAGCCAAGGAAATTGTAGCATGTGAATGTAGTTAAGCCCTCATAAGCATTTTTTTTTTCCATAACAATTTTCTGTGCCTACCAGTTTTTGTTTTCTTCCATTTACAGCAGAGCGGAACAGTGTACTTGAAGTCTACTACTGACTACCCATGGGCTAATCATTTCCTCAGTTTCCTCATTTGTAAAATGAGGTGGTTGGACTACATAACCCTTAAGGTCTCTTCCAGCTAGAAGTCTGTGAGTTGAAGTCTTGGTTCCTGCCTCTTTTCTGATAAATAGCTTATCTGAGTGTCACGATAAGTAAAACTTACATCCAGTAGTTTCTATAGTAACCATATTCGGTCCAACTACTTTTTGGGATATAAGGTGTGGCCTTTTGACGGAGTCCAAGTTTCTCCCAACAGATCCTTTTATTAAGGGGTTTTGTTCTGTGAAGTTTGGATTCAGTCAAAGGCCGAACTTGAGGACCTAGAGGGACACATGTGGCCTCTTAGGCAGTTCACTCAGTGAAACAGCGAATTGTCCTCCTTCCTCAAGACTTTTCCCAGTATCTTATATCCCTCTAAAGAGCCCACAGCAACATGCAAAGTTCATTTAGAGGCAGCTAGGTAGTGCAACAAGCCGCAGGTTCCCCACCCCTACCATAGGCAATCTATTCATTCTGCTTAAAGTGATAGTGCAAATGAGAAGACAGTCTTTCAGGAAAGGCTTCCCAGAATTCCTGATCTGTTATAAGACCCCTGCTATGTTCCCTTTGAATTCTCTGGGTCCTCTCTTGGTTCATGGTGCAGCAGGGAGAAGTAGGTATGTGACTGTGTGACAAACCATCCTGGGAAACAAAGTCAGTGTAGATGTCTACTGATTGGGGAATGGCTCAACCAACTGTGATATATGAATTTAGTAGAAGGCCACATATGGCCTTGAGCTTATAGGTCCCCCACCCCTGGTCTATGGTATGATGAGGAAGAGACCATAGTTCACATCTGGTGTGGAGACATGCACGCACTAGTAAGAACACAGCAATGCAGACTGATGGAAGAATTACAAAGTCTTGCCCACCTCATGCTCAATCCAAGGGATACATACTCATTAAATGGAATGACTTCAAAAGTCCCATTCTATTTAAATTGACTTTCTTTCCCTCCCTTTGTTTTTAAAATAACATACAATTCAATGCGTGATGCTACTTTACTGTAAGAGGAATTCAGAGAAATATGGGAAAACACAAGCTGCTAGGTGGTAAGTGCTGGGCCCGGAGTCAGGAAGACCTGAGTTTAAATCCAGCCATAGTTAAGTGTCTTACTTACACACTTACTGGCAGGCAAGTCACTTAACCTCTGTTTGCCTCAGTTTCCTCAACTGTAAAATGGGGATAATAAAAACACCTACCTACCAGGGTTACTGGGAAGATCAAATGAGTTAGTACTGGTAAAGCATTTAGTACAGTGCCTGGCACATAGTAGGAGTGATAAAAATGCTGGCTATTATTATTATTATTACTAATTACTATTATTTGTATCAACTGACAAAGGCGTGTCAGGAAGGGAAAAAGTTCCACAATGATACAATAATATAAATGAAAATAACAGAACAATATTTAACTATATTGACCAATTTTGTCTCCAGAGAAGAAATGAAGAAATGCAGCATTTTCTTTTTGTTGGGGGAGATGGAGGACTGGGGGGTATGGAATGTTGTCAGAGGTGCTGTGGATATTGGTTTTGCTTAACTATTTTTCTTAATTTCCGAGGAAGGCGCAGTGGAGATGGGCAGGAGCAAGGGTTACTCTTGGAATGAGGAAGTAACTACAATGCAAAAACAAAAGGCAAAAATAAAACTTCAAAAAACATGCTGTGAATTCTCACATAATCACAATCTTTAAAAAAAAAACTGGCAGATTGTTTTTCCTTGTGATCTTTGCTAATACACAAAGGCATTTTATCGGGGTAGGGAACTATCAGTGTGGGGAACTCCTTCCACCAAGTAGATTGTGAACAATCTTGTGTCTTAGTAGATAAGTTGTTGGGAGTTGCCAAAAACTATACTTTGGCTAAATGACTTGTCCAGGGTCACAAAGCTAGCTAGCTTCAGAGGCAGGACTCGAATTTGGCCTGCTCTGTCTCCAAGTACAGCATTCTAACCGCCAGTATATATTACGTCATTTTTTGCAAACAAGGCTAAAAAATTATCTGAATCAGAGACATCTGTGTACCAGGACCTGGATGGAGAGTTTTCTGTTTGTTTCACACCTGACAACCTCCATTGCCTGAAGCCAGAAAAGGATATGGAGAACAAGGTGGATGCCCACCAGCTGAACAATGAAAGGCTAAAACATTATAGGATAGGGATGAGCTAACATACCTAGATTGGCTTTCTTCCTCACCTCCACCTCAGAATCTCTAGCTTTCTTCAAAGCTTAGGTCAAGCACCACTTCCTACCTGAGGCTTTTGTTGATGCCCTGAGCTACTGGTGCCACCTCCCACGAAATCACCTTGCATTTGACTATATTTGTATGTGTACATGTTGATTTCTCAGACAGAATAAAAATTCCCTGAGAAGAGGGACAGTTTCGATTTTGTCTCTGTTATCACCAGAACCTAAAATATTATAGGCACTTGATAAATGCTTGTTGGTTGATATGATTGACTGTTACTATGAGGTAAGAAATGATGAATAAGAATTCAGAGAAGTGTAGGGAGATTCATATGAACCAATGTGGAATGAAAATAATCAGAACCAAGAGGATAACACACACAATGAAGGAACTGCAGAACAAATAACGAAACGTATTTCCCAACTTGGGTGCTAGGTGGCGCCAAAGTGCATAGAACGCTGGGCCTGGAGTCAAGAAGACGCATCTCCCTGAGTTCAAATCTGACCTCAATACTTACTAGCTGGATGACCCTAAGCAAGTCACTTAACCCTATTTGCCTCAGTTTCTTCATCTATGAAATGAGTTGGAGAAGGAAATGGCAAACCACTCCAGTATCTTTGCAAGAAAACCCCAAACGGAGTCATGAAGAGTTGGACACGAGGTATTACAATATATGTGGTATCAGATGCAGTGAATGTATCAGCTGTTTTTTTTCCCATTTATTTTTGTTTGTCAAAAGAAAAGTTTTATTCTAGAGGGGGAATTTGAAAGAGCTGGAATGTAAAGACAAAGAGCATCAATAAAATGCATTTAAGAAAAAGCAGGAAGGAAGTGGGGAGGGGAAAGCATAGCAGATAGGGAGGGCAAGAGAAGAAGAGGAGAAGGGAAGGAAGAGGGGGAAGGGAGAGGGAGAGGGGAAGCAAGAAGAGAAGGGAAAGGAAGAGAAGAGGAAGAGAATGGAGGAAGAAGGGAAGGGTAAGGGGGAGGAAAAAAGAGGAAGAGGGGAGGGAAGAGGGGGAAACGGTGAGGGGAGAAGGGGAAGGAAAGGATAAGGGGAGAGGATGAGGAAAGAAGCAAAGGGAGAAAGAGAAGGAAGAGGGATAGAGAGAAGACCCTCTATAGGGGTACAGAAGAAGGGGAGGAGAATGGGAGGGGCAGGAGAGAGGGAAGAGAGAAAAGAAGAGGGAAAGCAGAATCTCAAGTAGGCTTAATGAAAAATAGAAGCTGTTTCTGTAGAGAAATTTAAAAATGTTCTTGAAATCAGTATTTTAATAACATCATGTGATGATTTTTTTTTAATGTAGGGAGGCAAATAATATCTATTTTTATCATCTTTGGTCGCTAATTAGGGGAAGGTTTTACTGCCAAAGGCAAGAGCAGACTGGAGGCAATTAAGGATGGGATTGGTAATTTTATTTTTCAGATTTACTCTGGCTATGCTCCTCACTGCTACTACCAAGCTACCAGATCTCCTTGTTGGGTGATAAAAATCTGCCTACTGGGGTATAACTCTGAGCCAAAGGATGGGTAGAAGTTGCAAAGAGGCAACTCGAAGCTTGAAAAACTTCCCAATAGGCAAAGCTGCCCAGAAGGGAAATGGGTTACCTCTGGAGGAACTGGGTTGCCTCTCAGTAGAGGTCTTCAAGCAAACTTTGGATGACCATTTGTTTGCTGTAAAGAAGATGCTTCTTTCATTATGTGTTGAATGAGACAGCCACGAGGTCCCTTTTAATGCTTGAGATTTTGCGGGTGCAAGAACTACAATGACAATTTTGACTTTAAAATGAAGGGCAAAAAAAATTACGTTTCTAATGTACAAAATCAGAAGATTCAGTGCTCTAAACAACACACTTGAGTCTAAAGGAATTCATGAATTCTATGGCTTCCTCATTAACATACCATGTAGCCTTAGATTGGTAATAATTCTTGGATGCAGAAAAAAATAGTGATAGTAAAGGCCATAAACATATGTGAGCAAATAGGTTCTTGACAAATAATGGGCGAGAAATACAGAAGTCAAGGAGATGACAGACTCAAAAGTCCATCAACAGTGCCTCAGCCATCCAGTACCAATGCTTTCCACATATGATACCATGTAATGTCACTTCACTATGAGTCAAATGACTTACCATGTTTGTGGATGAATGCAAGTCCCTGTAGTATCTGGTACATGATGTTTCTAATAGTGGACTCAGGAAACAACTTGTTTCTATAGTAGGTACAAAAGAAAAATCAAGTTGTAAGTCTAGGTTAACACATAAAACTATATTCTCTGCTCCTGAGTTCTTATGACAATAATAGTCAGGAAGTTAAGATAACAGTCATATAATAGAGAAACACTAGAGACCTTTCCAATAATATCAGGGGTAAAGCAAGGCTATCCACTGTCACCACCATTATTTGCTATACTAGCTATAGCAATAAGATAAGAATAAGAAAATGAAGGAATAAATATAGGCAAAGAACAAATAAATGTATCACTTTGTGCAGATGATACGATGGGTTTATCTACAGATCCCTAGAGACTCGACTAAAAACTAATTGAAATTATTAACTTCAGTAAAGCAGCAGGATATAAAAAAAATCTACAAAATAATCCTTTTGCACATTACTAACAAAACCCAACAGAAAGAGATAGAAAAAGAAATTTCATTGAAAATCAATATAGAATGTATAAAATATCTGGGTTACCACTTACACACTGAAGAAGTATATGAATATAACTACAAAAAACTTTTTATAGAAATAAAGAAGACAATTAATTTAGATAGGAATTAATTGCTTATATTTGGGAGATAATAACGATGATAATATCCAAACTACTTTAGCAAAAGTACATTATAGAATGAAAAAATTATTTTAAAAATCCACCTAGAGGAACAAAAGATCAAGAATCTCAAGAGAAATAATAAAAAATGACAGGAAAGAAGAAGTTTTAGAAAAACCAGATCTCAAACTATATAATAAAACAGTAATTATCAAAACAATTTGATAATAGTTAAAGGAAATAATAAAAAAAATAGAAAGGTTATAGGCCAAAGAATAAAAGAAAAACAAAGAAAAGAGAGTCATTAAAGCACGTTTTTTAAAATGCTCAGAAGACAACAGAAGGCCAGGAAAAAAAAGCCACAGAGAAGCTTTGAAAGTTACATGTCAGATTAATAGTACACTTAAAGGGAAGAGCAAACTATATATAATAGAAATTTATGGTTTCACATTCTACTTTGTATATAGAAATACTAATTTTATTGGGTGTTTAAAATTCAGAAAAAAATCATTTTTATTTTTGTTTTAAGTTCAGAATAAATTAAACAAGATTTTAAATAGAAAATTTGATTGGTGGAGTAAATTTGGTATATAAGATTCATAAGCAATGGAAACATAGGATCACAGTATTCACTAAACCCAAGGACACAAATTATTGAGATAAGTAAAGACTTACTATTCAACAAAATCTGCCAAGAAAATTTTGGAAAGCAGTCTGGGAGAAATTAAGCTAAAAGCATCTCTCACCTTATGCAACAATATGCTCCAAATGGATACACAATCTAGACAAAAAAGGCCGTATCAGAAACAAATTATAAGAGAATGGAAGGAGATAACTTTGATAGGTGAAGAATTCTTGACACACAAAAAAGGGTCTTGATGACCTTAAGAACTGCTGTCACCTAAGATCAGCATCATCCAACGCAGGTGGATTTCTCATTACTGTCCTCTAAGCATTTTAACAATAAGGAAATTGAACAAAATTTGAGTGTACTTTTAGAAGCATATAGTCTCTAAGGAAATAAAGCTGTGCCTACTCTCTTGGGAATAATGACACATTTATGTGTTCAGTTGGATTAGAAGATAAGTGCTCTGAATAACCACTAGTAAACAGTCCATTTAAAGGTTTTAAAGTGGACTTCTGTTATGTCATTGTGAGTCTTTTCCTGTGTAATCTTGGTCTCATCTTCAGCCTTTCAAATAATGGGAAATTTCAAAAGCCCCAGCCCAAGTATCTTGGCTATTAAAAGGGGGAAAGAGAAGCAGGAGATTTACAGTCTCTCTAAAATGCTTATCACAGTACTGGTGAATAGGAGATGTTTAATAAATGCTGATTGATTGATTGATTGATTACAGCGAAGCAAAAGCAGGAAGAAGTAAAGCATCCTTGTGAGAAATTCCTTTCTAAAACACATTCCCCAAACTGTACCTTTCTTTCATTAGCTGATAAAGGTTTTCCTTCATGTATTCAAAGATAAAATAAAGATTGTCATTTTCCCTGATGACTTCTTTCAATTTCACTACATTTGCATGGTTCAGTTTCTTTAAAGACTGGAAAAAAAGAAAGAGGAAAGGTTTTGGTTAGAAAGATAAAATCTTTTACCTTCTATTTACTAATAACATCTAACATTTATGGAATGCTTTAAAGATTGCACATCACACATATCTCATCTGAACCTTTGAGGTAGATAATACAGATATCCCCTTTTTACAAACAAGGAAAATAATGGGGTGGGTGGATCACTTGAACTCAGGAGTTCTGAGCTGAAACATAAGCTGAGGCTGTTTGGGTGTTGGCACTAAATCTGGCACGAATATGATAAGCTCCCACAAGTGTGCATGGGGAAACCAGGCTGCTTAAGAAGGGGAAAACCTGCCCAGGTCAGAAACAGAGCAGGTTAAAGCCTCCACGGATGATCAGTATTTGGACTGAGTCCCCGACTGGACACTGCATTTCTAGCTTAGGCAAAACAGGGAGACTCAATCTCAAAATAATAATAAAGAAAAAAAAAATCTAAGGTTAAGAGAAATGACTTGCCTGTGATCACACAAATAGCTGTTAAAGACAAGTGTTGAACCCAGCCCTTTCTGACTCGAGTCCAATATGCCTTGGTACCCGAATTTAGAAGGTTTTTTTTTTTACCTTTTTTTTGTGTCACAGACCCCTTTGTCAGTCTAGTGAAGCCTATGGACACCTTCTCAGAATGTTTTAAAATGCATAAAATAGAACAAAATAAAAAGTGCACAATAGGGAACAAAAGAAAACTAACAAGGAAGCAAAGAAAAGATGGACAGCTCTCAAAACAACGTGTTTATCATAGACTTTCTTGACATGGAATTTTATTGCTATACAGTTTGAATCCGTATGTTCTGCTATATGCATAGCATGCTTTTTTTCCATATTTGGTATTTAATTTTCAATATTTAAGTCTATAGTATGCTTCTTTTTCTTATTGTTATTTAAGTTTCAGTAATAAAAAAGCAAAAAAATGCATAAAATACATAGGATTATGAAGTAACCTAATTATATTAAAATATAGTTATCAAAATTCTTTAAAAAACAAGATTCTGGAACCCAGGTTAAGAACACTTGCTGTAATTCTATAGTCACAAAAACACTGTAGCACTTGATTAATATTATAAATGGAAATTTTAATGAAGGAAATGTTCCTTTGAAATCATTAACCTCCTATGGAACAAAGATTTTGACAATCCGTACTGTAAAGCACTTACTTGGTCCTTAACCATTACAGAGTACCCATTATTCTGTGCCAGACAATGCACCAAGCCCTGCATTGTGAGCTTACGTGACTGCTTCCAGATGTAGGAATCTGGAAATAACTAGAGAAGAACCAATGAAGAAAGCTGTCCTTTTTTTCCCCCAGCTGCAGATACGGCAGCTGCTTCCTGCTGAGATCACTAGCTAAGTGTTTGCATATACTTTGAAGAAAGAATGGCTGAAGGCCGACGAGGCAGATGGCCAGATTCTTAAGTATTCCTCCATCTTTCTCTGTGTGTTTTATTCCCCTTCTCAAGATCTGTGAGCTTTAGGCGTGCAGGAAACATCCAGAATTGTAGGGGAAGGAGGGAAGGAGGAAAAGGAATAAAGGAAGGAAAAAAGTAAAGAGATAGAAAGACAGAGAAAGAGAGAGCTTTCATGATCCTAGAGTGACAAGAGAGGAACCATTTGCCTGAAAAAGCCGCAAAGGCAGAAGAAAACAGGTAAGAATGAATGAATGAATGAAAATGTATTGTTAAGTACTTACTATGTGCCAAGTGCTGTGATAAGTACTGGGGATACAAATAGAAAAAAAAAAAGTGAGGGGCAGCTAGGTGGCGCAACGGATAGAGCACTGGCTCTGTAGTCAAGAGGACCTGAGTTCAAATCCAGCATTTTAGGCACTTGATGTGTGACCCTGGAAAAGTCACTTAACCCCAGTCGCCTCACCAAAAAAAAAATCTATTAAGGGGCAGCTAGGTGGCACAGTGGATACAGCACCAGCCCTGGAGTCAGGAGGACCTGAGTTCAAATCTGGCCTCAGACACTCGACACTTACTTACCAGCTGTGTGACCCTGGGCAAGTCACTTAACCCCTAGCCTAGCCAAAAAAAAAAAGAAAAGAAAAGAAAAGAAAAGAAAAAAAGTGAAACAGTCCCTACTCTCAAGAAACTCACGTTCTAAATGAAAGAGACCACATGTAAAAGAAAGTTTGGCTTCAGGATAGATAGAGAAGCCCGGAAATCCCCAAGGTTTATAACTAGGGCAGCTGGCAAGCTCCCGGGCTCCTTAGGTTGCATCCGTAGGTCCAATAATAATGACAGTACTAATAATGGTTAGCATTGATATGGAGCTTTAAGGTTAGCAAAGAGCTTTTACATGAATTCTCTCATTTCAATCTCACAACAACCCTGTGAGGTTAAGTGTTACAATTATCCTTATTTTACAGATGAGGAAACTGAGGCCAAAAGAGGTTATGTGACTTGCCCAGCGTCATACAACCAGCATCTAAGGCAAGATTTGAATTCCTATCTTCCTGATAGTCCAGCATTTGATGAAATTACCCTCTACATGATTTGTATGATAGTGCCAGGGATCTTGGAGGTAGGGCAAATGGTTATGCCTAGAGGACCGTGGAGGTAATAGCAGGGCAAGGATGGTAGGGCCTCACGGTCTTCCATCTCATTATTAGGAAGAGAACTGATTACTGCCATGTGATTCAAACAGTGTTATCAGTCAAGAAGCTAAGATAGGTGCTAGCTGGGGAGGGGGTCAAGAGGGTAAGGGGAAGGTACTTCAGTTGGAGGACTGATTCAGATGTGTTCTAGAGGAGATCAAGAGATCAAGAATAGTAGAATAGCCTAGAACACAGTGTACAGTCTTGCTTGCTCAGCCATTCTGTCTTTATACCATATATATATATATATTTAGTGTTGAAGAATAAATCTATTTTTTTTAATCAGTGGTAGCCCTATAAAACAACAATAGGTCAGACACACTATAATTAGTAAAACCCATCAGATAAATTAATTTTCTGTCCTTCTGAATTTGGTCCTCTTTGAAGAAAGCCAAAAAAAAAATAACCTTGGCCACCTGGGTAAATCCTTTAACTCAAAGAACGTTTTGTTTCTCACAGAAAAGGGTCAACTGTATTAATAACAATGTTAAGAAGTACACTGGCTTTTTTTTATAAGTTATCACAGAATATCATAGCTGAAAGGGGTCAGAGGGAATACCTAATTATCCAAACACCTCATTTTCCAAATTAGGAAACTGAAGCCCAGATGGAAGAATGACTTCCCAAGGTTTCACAGTTAGTGACAGAGCCAGACTGGAACCCAGGTCTCTTTGATTCCTAGTCTTGGATGCCTGTGCTATTATGCCATGCAAGCTCCGTCATTCTGGTTAAGAAAAAGGAGAAATTAAGACGTTTTTCCTGAAGAATAAAATGTTGAAATAAATCAGATCTGAGAACAGAAAGAAACTCACTAATAAGGGAGACAACCAGGGTTTAGCACTTGGGTGGAGGTGGTACTTGTACTCCTATTAGCTGGAAAATGAGGTGAAAGGTGGTTAGTGAACAAAAACAAAATTTTAAAAAGCAAAACCAGTCTCCTTTGAGGCCTATTCCCTAAAAGACAAACTCTTGCCAAGGCATTTTCCTGGCAGTTCAGCCTCATCTGCTTGGCCCAGCCTGCTCCTCCTGCCTGGAATGCCGTGAACTAGCTGGCTGATTCTGCCTCCTTCTTGGGTTGGGTCCCTTGTGCTCCATGAGTAACCGGCATAAACAATGGCCAAACTGCAAATGGCCACTCAACCCTTTCAGTGTTTCTAATCTTTTTTTTTTTTTGGGCCCGTTGGCTTAAAAGAGATCACAGGCAATAAACCTGCTGTCTCAGAATAGTGAGACAGTCCAGAGGAAAATTAATTCAGAGGCAAATGAAGTCAGAGTCAGAGTCTTCTCCAAGCAGAGAGTTATAGTCAGGGAGTGGAGTATCTCTAACTGTTGGCCTGAGGGGGAACATCATAAGCTAAGATTGCTTGTTTAAGCTGAAGAGAATGGTTCCTACAGAACTATACTTCTGAGAAGAATTAATACTTGGGGGCAAGTTATATCCAATTTTCATCTACTTGTAAAATACACACGTATGTGTGTGTGTATGTGTGTATATGCACTCATACAACTCCCCTGAATACTATTTCCAGGAAAGAGGTCCCTCCCCTTGGCAGATTGGGCTGTATTGGGCACAGAATGCAGAGTAGAAAAATTATATATGGGGCATAGGTCATTTGCTTTCAAAAGGGGCTTCTTCTGAAAAAGGATCATTGTTTTTAAAGGATCCAGTCCAAGCTTCTGGACGATTCAGACGTTAGCTATCATTAATAACAATACGCTTTTATCTAGTAAGACAAGGCACTTGCTGCTGGACCAGTCAAACAGTAAAAGAGCATTTATTAAGTACCTACTATGTGCCAAGCAGTGGGGATACAAATGCAAAGAATAAAACATTTATCTACTATTATTATATTCAAATGGAAGATGGAATGTCTGGTATGAGGAACAGAGAAAAGGCTGGTAAGACTGAAAAGTGTGGGTTGGAGGGGGAAGTAAAGCATAAAGGATGAAGAGGAAAGGAGGGCACTATGCATAACTTTCCTCATGAAGCCTTTTCTGATCCCCACAACCTCTAGTTCTCTCTCCCCAACTACCTTGTATTTAATTACCCTGTATTTATTCTCTTTATAATTGGAGAGATTTATTTGCATTTATTCTCCATCTTTGAGTCTTTGCACTGACTAGAAGGCACTCCCTCTTCTGTGACAGCTGAATATATACATATAACTACATACATACATACATATGTGTATACACACACACACACACACACACACACACACAAAATGTCTTTTGATGGAGAGTGGGTTTTGCTTAACTGTTTAGGGTTTTCGAGGCTGCTAGGTGGCTCAATGGATAGCATGCGGGGCCTGGAGTCAAGAAGAACTGAGTTCAAATGCAACCTCTGACATTTGCAAGCTATGTGATCCCAAGCAA